AACTCAAATGCAGATTCGTACCTAATATTTAATAATTTTCTCAAAGTTTTTGCTAAATGTACCGACTTGCGCTTTTCTGTACATAATATCGTCGTGTTGTTACTCTGATTTATCATTTTATCCTATCTTTCAATTGCTTCTTAATATACCTGTCATCTATATCTTGTCGTTAACTTTCATGGCAATCGAAATCTTAAAATCTTTAAGAATTTTTGTTTTTAAGACTGAGACTGTCCAACGACTCGAGCTTTTCTAGGCATAATATCATTGTAATTTAGTTCTAATTTATTATTTTAGTTGACCTCTCAATAGCTTTTCAACATACGTTGTCACCTATACCTTGTCATAAATTTCATTGCAGTAGAAATTTCTCAATTTCTACAATTTTTTCCCAAGTTCTCGTTAACTATATAGACTCACGCTTTTCTACACATAATATTGTTATGATAATAACTAATCTAATTTATTATTGTAGTTTGCCCTTTAGTCCTTTCTCAATGTGTGATGTCTTTTATATCTTGTTCTAAATTTTATAGCCAAAATCTTTATGAACTTTTAGCTGAGAACTGAGATTATCCAGCGACCCGCGCTTTTCTACGCATAATATCATTGTAATATAATTCCAATTTATTATTTTATTTCACTTGTGAACCACTTCTTAAGATGTCTTTTCTGTTATAACTTGTCGCTGATTTTCATAGTTGTCAAGATATCTTAATTTCTAATAATTTTTTTCCTAAACTCCTGTTAACTGTATAAGCTCGCGCTTTTCTATGTATATTACTGTTGTAGTGAAGCTTTAATTTATTAATTTAGTTTGTCTCTCAGATGTTTCCTGTTACCAAAGTCAATAATATTATGCGTCGAAAAGAATAAGTCTATATAGTTAACGAGAACTGAGGAAAAATTATTGAAGATTGAGAAATTTCTACTAGAATGAAATTTATGATAAGGAGACAACACATGTTGAATAGCTATTGAGAGGCCAACTAAAATAATAAATTAGAAATATATAACAGAAAAATAATAAATTAGAATTAAATTACAATGATATTATGCCTAGAAAAACTCGAGTCGTTAGACAGTCTCAGTTCAAAAATAAAAATTCATAAAGATTTTAAAATTTCTGTTGCGATAAAAGTTAACGACAAGATATAGATTACAGCATATAGTGAGAAGCAATTGAGAGATAGACTAAAATAATAAATCTGAACTACATGACGACGATATTATGTATTGAAAAGCGCAAGTCGATATAATTAGCAAAAACTTAGGGAAAAATTATTAACTATTAGGTACGAATCTGCATTTGAAGTGACCAATGACTAGCGATAAGAGACCATAACAAGCGACAATAAAATAACTCTTGTTTAATACAAACCACCATCCTTTTATATGACCAATACATAATTAACATCATGAAATCGAGGGATCTGATTTCTGCCCAGCTTCTGATAACATTTATGATTAAATGGTAGTTATCAGGTCATCAAGTATTAAGCCAGCGGCACACGGTGTTTGTTTTCGTGCTGGATTGCTTGCTAGATGAAAATACTGCGTTCTGATTGGTGCATTTCCATCCATCTTCGGAAATGTACCAATCACAACGCAATATTTTCATCCAGCAAGCAATCCAGCACGAAAACAAGCACCGTGTGCCGCTGGCTTTAGTCTATGATTTATACTTTTTACCTATTTATTAATATTTAATAATATAAAGTAACATTATCAGTCTTATTACTTTATCTTCCGGCTGATAGATATATAAAATAGTGAAAAGATTCATATTTTAAACAGAAAACTGAGAGACCTGAAAACTACCTGACTACGAACATATTAAATTACGAAAAGATACTTCTCAGGTTAGAAGAAATTGAACTATTTTTATGAAATTATATTTTAGCAAGACCTAAATAAGCCATCTCATTATTTATATTCAACATATCTAATAGAAATATCTATTAATAACAATGTAATTAAAGGAAAAGTTTAAAAAATATATTGGTCCTTAAAACTACCCTTCGATATATTAAACCTTATATTTCGAAAAATAACCAATATTTTTTAAATCAGCAAGCGGTTTCTACTTAGATTAGAGCTGAATTCAATATCTATATAATAAAATTGGATAATTATTTTCGGTCCTGAAAACTGCCCTTTCATATATATATATATTAGAGATGTGCGAATCAAGAATTTTTATGTCGAATTGAATCGAATCTCATTTTTTAAATTCGAATTCGAATCGAATCGAATCTATGAAATTTCACTCGAATTCGAATTGAATCGAATGAAATCGAATCGAGTCATTAAAAAATTTAACATGACTGTTAAACATGCAAATAATAATGGAAGATTTTAATATGAAAGGGAATATTGATATTGTAATATAATCTTAAAGTAAAATATATATTTAAATATTTAAAATAATTTATAATTAAATTATTAATTATAAGTTAAGTTAATTACAAGTTAAGGGTTCAGACATATAGGCCCAGATGGCCCGTTTTGTAGCTGATGCATACAAACAATAATATGTTTTATTCCTATTCGAATTATTCGGATTCGAATTATAGGAATTCGGATTCGAATCGAATCGAATTACACTAGATTCGATTCGAATTCGAATAGTTCTCACACGCACACGCACACGCATACGCACACGCACACGCACACACACACTTATACGCACACGCACACGCACACGCACATCGCTAATATATATATAACTTTATTTTGTATTTAAAATTGTTTCAATCCCATTTTAATTCTTATAATCCGGACGATTTTTGAACGATTTTTACAGTCTTTGAGTTAGAATTTTTCGTATATGAAGATAGTTCGAAAAATTCTCGGTTTGATAAAAAACGTATGATTTTTGACAATGTTCTTTTTTATTTTTCAACATAGTCTCTTTTCAACTTAATACGTTTAGACCAACAATATTCTAACTTTCTTATACCTTCAGTATAATACAATTTCTTTAAGCCTTCAAAATAAGCATTCACATCAGCGATGATTTTCCTATTTAAAATGAATTTCTTTCTAGTGAGCTATTTTTTCATGTTTGGGAACAGGAGAAAGTCACTAGGAACTAAATCTGGTGAGTACGGTGCGTGTGGTAGCAATTCGAAGCGCAATTCATGGAATTTTGTAATTGAAGAAATGTGAGCGATTATTGTCATGATGGAAAAGTATTCTTTTTGCCACATGAGGACATTTGGTCTTAATATCATCGTTCCAGCAATGCTACATAATATTCTCCGTTGATTATTTTGCTTTTTTCTAGTCTAGAATAGTCTAGTCTAGTAAGTCTATAAGCACCACATCCTGTGAATCCCAAAAAACGTCAAAAAACATCACCTTTTCGGCTGATGGAACTGTTTTTGCCTTTTTGGAGCGCATTCACCCGCTTCCACCCATTGTTTCAATTATTGTTTCATCTCTGGTGTATCAATGAATCCATGTTTCATCAACAGTGATGAATCGTCGCAGAACTCGGTTGAATTGCGTTTAAACATATTCAAGCATTTCTGAGAAATGTTCATTCGAATGCGTTTTTGATCGACCATTAACAAACGCGGCACTCATTGCGCTGAACATTTTTTCATATGCAAATATTCGTGTAAAATGTTGTGAACATGATCTATTATTATACTAGCAGTCTGAAACTTTTTAACGCATGCGTTATAAGTATAACGCATGCGTTATATGGCTCGTAACGCATGTTTTACGATTTCGTATTCTGTAAATGCATCTTAACGTATGGCGTCGTCAATTTGCGTTACATTAACGTTAAGTTTGCGTTATATTATTTTTCACTATAAATCCGTATTCTGTAAACCACTTTAACGCAATTTGTAACGCATTTTATTGCGTTACGTAAAGTAATGCTAACGCTGGCTGCCGGAGAACATTAATGTCATAACGCGATCTTGCAAGGTTAAGTTAATATTAATATTTTTTATTGTGAATAAAATGGCTGGTGGAATACTCATCAATGTGCTAAATGATGTGGAAAAGGAAGAAAAGAGGGAAAATTCTCTAATAATGAAAGAGTTGAGAGATAGTATTAATCCATTTAATTTAACGGATGAACAATTTATAAGAGTTTTCCGTTTATCAAAAGAAGCAGTAATTTATATATGTGACTCACTTCAAAATATTTTGCAATGGAAAGGAAGGAGAGGATTAAGAAACACAGGTAATTATGTAAATTCTAATATAACTTTAAAATACATAATAGACATGCGAACATTACAGTTTTCCGCTATATTTAGATATAGTTCGGAACGCAATTGATGGTTCAACGAGAGAACTTATTTGCTGAAAAGTTTTCAAAACAAGTTCTCTTATTAGACTATCAACTACGTTCCGAATTATATTGAAAACATAACGAACAACTTTATTGATATCCATGACTGCAAACTGATTTTGTTCAAATTTGTATAATAAAAAACTATGTGTTACTAACTACTTACAGGTTTTAGCTGCACTGCGTTTTTTTCCTATAGGTTCGTATCAAAAAGATATTGGTAATGATTATCTGATATCTATATCACAATCAGCAACTAGCAGAGCAATAAAAGCAGTAGCGATGGGTATCACGCAATTGCTTGCCATTGAGTGAAGCAAATTCCCAAACACAGAGGAAAAACGAGCAGCTTTAAAAGAAAAGTAACATCCTTTTACAATTATAAAAGGCCGTTAAAAATTTACTCTGACTGTTAACAATTTATATTTTTCTTAAGAAAACAATATAATAATATCAGGAAATTGAAGTAATTTATATATGATTGCACTTAACTGTTGTGATTTTTTTTACAAATCTTCCTTTAAATAATATTAAATAAATTTGTCTATTCACTGAATTATAATTTTTTTCATAATTTTCTTATAATATTGTTTTGTACAATATATTTTTACAGATTTCAAAAGGAAAGGAATTTTAAAGGAATAATAGGTTGCATAGATTGCACTCATGTTGCTATTGTGAAACCAAAACATCACGAGGAATCATATATAAACCTTAAAAGGTTTCCATTCAATTAATATACAGGCAGTAAGTATACTCACTACAAAAATATATAATATATAATGTACTATACAAATTCAAAAAGAAACTTAATGCATACTTGTATTATTTATAATAAGATAGCGTCACACGATTTGGAAATCTTAAACGTCAATGCTAGATTTCCTGGAAGTGTCCATGACAGCTTTATATGGAGATATTCTACCATAAGGGACGAAATGCAACGATTATATGATTCTGGAGATCGAACAACATGGCTTTTGGGTAAGTATCACGATTATTTTATATTTATTTACCTAATAATGTACATAAAAATTTATTTGATTATAGGCGATGCAGGTTACGGTTTGGAACCTTGGCTGATGACACCTATCACAGATGCACCAGAGCTACAAGATGCATAACGTTATACTAACATTATAAAAAAATAACATTTTAATAATAAAGAAAACAATGTGAGGAAATAATACTTTAATTATGATAGAAATATACAATAAAACTTACTTTTCTCCAACCTTCTGTACCTTTTGATGGGCCGTCGAAGCTATTTAACTGTTCAATTAATTGCTGCCATTGTAAGTCGTAAACTGGCTTTCCTCTTGCTCCTAATAATTTGCCTGTGGCAAACGCAGTATGGTTTTCCATATATGTAATAAGGAAATCTAATTGCTTGTTTGTTGTTTTAGGACGTCGTTGAAGTTTGGAGCGTTCTTGGAGCGAAAATTGAAAATAGCTTTTATTTAACAAAAAACCACTTAATATAAATGTAAATACATATAAAAGATAAATTTGTGTTAAATATGACATGACATTATAAGAAAGTTGTAATTTCCGAAAATTACTCACATATAATCATTCATACAGATTATAATTATTTCCGGCACTCACAGCGCTCTGTGCCAAAAACTGACAATGCTTTCTCACTCTCTGGCATGTGGGAAAAAAGAAAAAAGTTAGTTTAATAGCAATATCGTCCCGGAACACTTTCGTTCTCCACGAATATGATATGCATACCACCACACTCAGGCAGATTGTAATTATTTCCGGTAGTCACAACGCTCTGTGCCAAAAACTAACAACGCATTTTCACTCTCTGGCATGTGGGAAAATAGAAAAAAATTAGATTAACAGCAATATCGTCCCGGAATACTTTAGTTCTCCCCGAGAATTGTGTGGATACCACCACACTCAGACAGATTATAATTATTTCCGGCAGTCACAGCGCTCGGTGCTAAAAACTGACAACGCATTTTCACTCTCTGGCACGTGGGAAAATAGAAAAAAATTAGTTTAACAGCAATATCGTCCCGGAACACTTTCGTTCTCCCCGAAAATGTTGTGCATACCACCACACTCAGACAGATTGTAATTATTTCCAGCACTCACATCGCTCTGTGCCAAAAACTGACAATGCATTTTCATTCACTGGAATGTGGGAAAAAAGAAAAAAATTAGTTTAACAGCAATATCGTCCCGGAACACTTTTGTTCTCCCCGAGAATTGTGTGCATACCACCACACTCAGACAGATTATAATTATTTCCGGCAGTCACAGCGCTCTGTGCCAAAAACTGACAACGTATTTTGACTCTCTGGCATGTGGGAAAATAGAAAAAAATTAGTTTAATAGCAATATCGTCCCGGAACACTTTCGCTCTCCCCGAAAATGATGTGCGTACCATCAAACTCAGACAGATTATAATTACTTTCAGCAGTCATAGCACTCTGTGCCAAAAACTGATAATGCATTTTCATTCTCTGGCATGTGAGAAAAGAGAAAAAAAGAGAAAAGAGAAGAAAAGAGAAAATTGTTTAACAGCAATCGCGTCCCGGAACTCTTTTGTTCCGGAATACGACGAGAGTGAAAATGTTCCGGGACGAAATTGCTATTAAACTGACTTTTTTCTACTTTCCCACATGCCAGATAGTGAGAATGCATTGTTAGTTTTTGGCACAGAGCGATGTGAGTGCCGGAAATAATTACAATCTGTCTGAGTGTGGTGATATGCACACAATTCTCGGGGAGAACGAAAGTGTTCCGGGACGATATTGCTGTTAAACTAAATTTTTTATTTTTTCCCACATGCCATAGAGTGAGAAAGCATTGTCATTTTTTGGCACAGAGCGCTGTGAGTGCCGGAAACAATTATAATCTGCCTGAGTGTGGTGGTATGCACATTTTCGGGGAGAACGAAAGTGTTCCGGGACGATATTGCTATTAAACTAACTTTTTTCTTTTTTCCCACATGCCAGAGAGTGAGAAAGCATTGTCAGTTTTTGGCACAGAGCGCTGTGAGTGCCGGAAATAATTATAATCTGTATGAATGATTATATGTGCGTAATTTTCGGGAATTACAACTTTCTTATAATGTCATGTCATATTTAACACAAATTTATCTTTTATATGTATTTACATTTATTTTTAAGTGGTTTTTTGTTAAATAAAAGCTATTTTCAATTTTCGTTCTAAGAACGCTCGCAAACTTCAACGACGTGTTTTAGGGGCTTCTTCTTTTTCTGTGCAACTTCCATACTGTAAGGACATATTGTTCATTAGTTGAATCAGGTTATGTATCTATTCTTTTCGTACATTGCGTAAAAACAATTTAATTATTCACTACAATTTATTTATTACAAATGTGTGCACATAGCCTAATATATGTTATATATATTGTAAGTAATATATACATAACCTTGAATGTTTTTCTTCGGTATATGTGTACAAACAGCACAAACAGCTTCTTCTCCTTCTTTCGTAATCGGATTTCTTCAATAATCCGGAACAAACAACTTTACTTAAGCCGATTGAAATATTTTAAATCTTTCGCTATGATTGGTATGTAGATTATTGCGTCATCATTACCTCCTAGTTCCTCCGCAACTTGCGTTATATTCCCGAAGATGCGCGAAGAACAGACGACTCATAACGCAAGGTATTAACGTAGCTTATAGAATAGGTTTCTCAAGAATAATGCGTTGTGAGTTAACGCAAATTTCGTTAATGAAGTTATAACGTAAAGAAATTTCAGAATAAGCCTGCTGGTCTGTAAATATGAAACCGGAATTTGCCCATAGATGGCCTTAGCTGCCAATGTAGCTACCGTCAAACCGCGTCATTGGCGACATTTCCATTTGTTGACATCTAACAAAGATTTTCAACTCACAACAATACAAGTTTCATACAACAGCATAGTTTGTAATAGCGTTGAACATGTCGAATTTTGCGCCTGGAAGCTACGATTTGCGGACAGCATTGATTTTCTGTTACCATTTGAGGAAAACTGCTGCAGAATCGCATCGAATGCTTGTCGAAGCTTACGGTGAGCATACTCTTGGTAAATCACAGTGCTTTGAGTGGTTTAAAAAACTCAAACGTGGCGATTTTTACGTGAGAAACGGAAAACGTGGAAGACCACCGAAAAAGTTTGAAGACAGCGAATTGCAAGCATTGTTAGATGAGGATGACGCTCAAACTCAACAACAACTCGCGGATCAATTAAATCTGACACGAGGAGCTGTCTCTGTTTGAAAGCCATGGGAAAGATCCAGAAGATGGGAAAATGGGTTCCACATGAACTGAATGCAAGATAGCAGGAAAACCGAAAAACCATTTGCGAAATGCTGCTCGCCAGGTATAAAAGAAAGCCATTTCTCCATCGAATTGTGACTGGCGATGAAAAATGAATATATTTTGATAATCCAAAGCGTAAAAGGTCATGAATAACTCCAGGCGAACCATCGACATCGACTGCAAGGCCAAATCGCTATGGACGGAAGACAATGCTCTGTGTTTGGTGGGATCAGAAGGGTGTGAGCTATTATGAGCTGCTAAAATTTGGCGAAACCGTTCATACTGAACGCTACCGACAACAAATGATCGATTTGAATCAAGCTTTGCGTGAAAAATGACCAGAATATCAAAAAAGGTAACACAAAATGATTTTGCTTCATGATAATGCACCATCACACACAGCAAAACTGCTCAAGGAAACGATTGAGGCGTTTAGTTGGGAAATACTTTCGCATGCAGCTTACTCACCAGACTTGGTTCTGTCCGATTACTACTTATTTGCATCGATGGGACACGCACTTGCTGAGCAGCGCTTCACTTCTTACGAAAATGTACGAAAATGGCATCCACAAATTGTCAGACAAGTGGGAAAAATGTATAGCTAGCGATGGGCAATACTTCAAATAAAATATTTTTTATCATTTTCATACAATAAACGTGTATTTTCTATACGAAAATTCCGATTTCATATTTACATACCTGGTATTATATTAAGACATTCGCAATGTTAGCAAGCTCATGCACTTTACTTGTCAATCATTTAAAACTTTGTGAGTTTTTTCGATGATTTCCTTAGTAGCGGTTTTTGGACGACTTAAACATAGATTCTCGAAAAAGAAATGGCCACGTTGGAATTTAGCAGCCTATTTCTTCACTATTGAAAATAATCAATCTCGTTTTTTATTTCCGTTGGCGTTAAACCTTTTAAAACAAAGTATTTCATCACTGCGCGACATTCGATTTTATCTATTTTTCTAGAAACAATTGTTTACTTTACTCGATTACAACAAATAAATTACTGAACTGCATCTGTCTGAAACGTTACGATAGGCCTTGTGAAGAATAAAACCTGAAAAAAACCACAGCCATTTGATACTCCTGGCACCATCTCTGTGTCAGGCCAAGAACTTTTCGAATTACCTTTGTACATTGAAGGATAGATTGATGAAAAAGATAAGAGCCTCACTATAGTGGCTTTCAATAGAGTTAAATAAAAATTAAAGTATTGTAACAATTGTTTTATTAGTTGCATAAAATTTTAAGATAAATTCAGGATAATGATAATCATAAAATTGATCTATAAATAAAATAGAATTAAAATAATAGAATAAAATGTAAGATTATCGCTGTTGTATATATCTATTACCTTAGTTTCTCGTGAGAAATCAATATATAACGAGATATGTTCCATTGGAATATATTCCGTTAGAATATATTCAATATACTCCATTTTTTTGGTGCACTTAACGATTATTTCGATGATAGTCATGACGATGGCAAATAATTTTCTCGGTTGACGATTGCTCTACTCAGGTGACAAAATTGTCGTAGCTCAATTTATTTAATTTGATCATTATGCGCATCGCGTGCGCGTGAGAGAGAGAGAGAGAGAGAGAGAGAGAGAGAGAAAGAGAGAGAATATGCGCCACATCTCGATTAATTAGCGTTCAATCATAATTACCGGCCATTGCAACCGTGCCACCAACGAACCAGCAACGATACGATTTCGTTCGGTCGTCGATGATCGGCACATTGTTATACTATTTATCAAAATCGCGATAATACCGATCAGATCAACGCCGACCAGATGATCGAGCAATTATCATCAGACCTGCATTAATCGAAAGCTTCTCGCTGATTAATCTAAATGCGAATTAAATTCAGTCGTGGGGCTAGTA